TCGACAGAGGACTTCGACACTATCTGTATTATTTATCAGCTGCCTCAGAAGAAGAGGTCATATCACAGGCTCATTCGGAAAAACATACACTTCGTCACTCACGACTTAATGGCGTCCCAAGGTAATAGGACCGAAGCCCACACTCTTTTAACCTGAACTCCCTATACTTGTATTAATTCCTCACTCGTTTCTTTGCAGATAACTCAACAAGAAGCTGCCAGTACGCCCTGACTTCAAAACTATTCAGAAAATGATGGCTGAAGCAAGGGCACTGAAGGCCTCCTCCTCTTCATATAAGAAGCAAATGGAGGAGCTGGTGGAGGCCAGTAAGAGACTTCAGCCTCTGACGGAGGAGGAGGTTCAGGAGGATCCGGAGGCCGACCTCCGAAGGAAGGGCAAGAAAAGTGCTGCCCCTCCCAGACGCCCAACTGTGGCGAGGCCACCCCCAGTTATGCGGCAGACAACTATTCCCACAGATGGTGCCAAACTGTTGACCTCTAAAAATGGCTCTTCCAGGTGGCCAACTTGTAGCTACTCCACGTATTCCTCCCTACGAAATGAACAAACTGTCAGGCGCACACGGCCGGAACCAACGGTGGTGGCGGCCGTATACACTCCGACGGTCAAGTCAGGTTTGAATGGTCGGAATAGTGTCCAGGGACTACACAAATCAATCAGTCAATAAAGGGGGAGGAGAATATATAAACTTGTTATGGAGTGCTATCTATTGAGAGTTTCATTACCTTTGCCTCTGGCCAATCTTTGGGTATTTATAGGTGGTATGAACCGTGGGATGTGGAACACGTGTATACATCTGACGGTATGAAGCGTCTGCTCATAGGCGTCAATCAGCCGCGCTTGTAGAGTGGGCGGACAGTTTGTTTCCCCCGAGTTGAATTGACATAAAGTTGATAAGTCACATCAAATAGCTTTATGGGGGACGTCACATCAATTTAAACCTTATATGCAGAGCAAATCTTAAATTGGCAGCGAATCTTCTAACGGGGTCGGAGACGGGACACTTCGGCAGATCAGTGACAGGAATTGGTGTATCACTTCGGAGAGGCTTCGGGAGGTCGGAGTGGTTCCGAGGCTCGTAAAATGAGGCGTAACAATAATAATAAAATGATCGTTGAAGATAATATAAAAAAAAAAAAAAAAAGTTCCTTAATTTCAAACTTAATTATACATACTTGGAATCAAGTCATATTTCATTAAAATAATCAACAATTACTCTTTTAAGTTAATGGCCTGAATAAGTGTACAAATTACACTTATCACTACAGCAATAACCAAAGAAAATGAGCCCCATGGTGGTCGCCAAGTTAGGCTAAGCTTGGACAAGACGGTGTTGCAAAATACCAAAAGACCACCTTTTTATCATGTCAAGAAGCTCCCTCAGAAGCCTCTTCCTAATTCTGCCTCAAGAGAAAACCAACTTATCCAGTGAAAGTACTGGGAAAAACGAGAAGCTGCGTCTCAGCTGAATAACACATTTAAGAGAGAGGGAAGCTGCATCTGATATGCTAATACAGGATGCCGAGGCAGGGACGACAACAGAGTCAAGAGAAAGTCAGCTCAGGGCAGATGATGAGCCTGCTACTGAAGCATTGACAGCACTACAACAGGACGTATACATATTTAGGAGCCTGCTATCCTTTGTCATTAGTCGAGGTGTACTCATTTTGTCTGTCAAGCCTCTTACGAATTTATCTTAATCTTGTTACCATTCATAATCACACATAAAAAGAATATTATGAGCCTGTTTGATAGAATTCATTTTGAAATAGTTGGTTATTGAATAATATTTTTTGGAAACTGTGGGTTTAAAAAGCAAGAAAATTTTATTGGTTTGTGTACAATATTTTATTTTATGATGTGTGATGAATAATGATTCTATAGTAAATAATTTAAATTTTTAAAGGTTAAATTCTACTTTTTGATACAGGCATGAAATTTAATCTTGATAGCAGCCTAGCATATGAAAAAACATGTGCTCAAATTCCAGAATCAAGGAGAAGCTCAAGACTACAAGAGTAAGCACACATTCACCGAGAAGTTATAATCAGTCGTATGATGCAAGAAACTACATAATAAAGCGCCTCGAAAGCATTTTTATTAACAAAAAACAAGCATTTTATTAAGTATTACATTGCTCAAGACGGTAACAGGAGAGAACCTGCAAAACTAGGGCTTTGTTGAGAAAAAACAACCCAAAAGGGTTGTCATGGCAGACTAAAACAACTCTGCCACGGACAAAGCTCACGGAAAGCAAGGTTACAAGCCTACAACTGCCAAAAGCAACCACAAACACATACTGACTCACGGAATCAAACCCAACCATCATGTAACAGAACTCGAGCATTCAGCAACATGGAAGACTCGGTAAACAGACACTAAGGACTTGATAGCATAACAAGCTCAGACCACGCAAGTTGGAATAACAACTGCTCGGCCAGAAGCTGAAAACATAATAGTAGGACCATTAGAAGTATTTAAGAATTCAGCACCCAGTATCGGTATTCTCAGCCAAGTGTGACCATTATGCAGAATGGCTCCCTCAATTAAGGGGAAAAATTCTTGGAACAGCTTTCTAATGGAAAGAAAGCTGCAAAAAAAATAGAGTAACTGGCCACACCTTGCTGGAAAAAGGACTGGAACACTGAACCATTAAGACCCATGGTTATGGACCCAAAAACGACACGCCTGACTACTAAAACCCAAGAGCTATACTGAAGTAGTGAAAACTAGTGATGACCCCCATCATCTGTGACTGCTTTAACGTGACTTTTCAACCGTCAGCTGCTTAGAAGAGTATATCACACTTCCCAAGTTGCTCAACAAGCAGATCAACAGCATCCGAGCTGATTCCATTGCAATGCTGGAGGTTCAACCCCACCATTGTCTTGCCCATATCCACCAACAAAGGTGCAGATCTGTCAGATACCAAAGAACAACCTGCCAGGGAAAGTATCTGCAGATTCAGATGCTTGGCACCAGCCAAGGCTGCAATCCCAGAATCAGTAATTCCACATTTAGAAACATCAAGTTCATTCAGCAGCCAGCAATCCCTTGCAACTGCCACCAGGCTTGCATCAGTGATGAATCTGCAGCCTTCAAGATTCAGAACCTCGAGAGTGCTCCCATGCAGCTTAGAAATGGTTGCAACAACAATGTTGGTCAAATTGACACATCCATTAAGATTTACCTTCACCAAACCAGCATCAGAGCTTTGAACAAAAGGTAGAAGCCCAGCGTCAGTTATTCCCTGAAGCCCACTGAGATCCACACGAGTCAGGTTGGGACACAGTCTACCCACCATGGCCAAGCTAGCATCATCAAATCCGGGACAGTTGCGGATGGTCAGTGATTGCAGTGAATGACAAAGAGATGTCGATGGAAAGACATAGTTTATGTTCCGAATTTCCAAGCAATTGGACAAGGCAAGAGCCTTCAAATTCCCACCACAGTTTGCAAAGAAGCCAAAAACCCCACATTGGGTAATCCTGCGGCATTCCTCCAATTGAAGACTTTTAAGTGACCCTGCAGATTTAGCAAAAGAAACCAATCCACTGTCTGATACAAGTGGACATCTTCTGAGGCAGATCTGATGCAGATTTGGGCAACCTTTACCAATAGCTTCAAACGCTAAATCAGAAACTCCTCGGCAAGTGGTTATTGCCAAAGACTTCAGCTTCTGCAAACCTTGACCACTAGCCATGACCCAGAAGCCCCTTTCGTTCACATTTTGGAGTCCAATAAGTGCAAGGTCAGTCATTGCACTGCCATAGTGCCCAATTACAGCAAGAGACACATCGCTGATATTAAGTGCCTGAAGCTTCACCTTTGTAAGAACATTACCAGCTGATGAAAATAGACCTGCAATTCCCTGGTCCCCAACAAGAGGACAATTTTTAACAGTAATGGACTTCAGGTTGGGACAGCTACATCCCAAAGTTTTCAGGCTTTCATTTCCAATGTTTGAGCAAGATTCTATTGTAACTGATACCAGATTGGGACAATTCTTTGCAATAGCAAGCAAACCCTTGTCTGTAACTGCCGAGCAGTGACATAGGTCAAGCTTCTCCAACAGATGACAGCCATTTGCTATCTCAAGTAGCCCTTCATCACCAATTGATGATAAGTTCCAAATCGAAAGCTCTCTCAAAGAAGGGCAACCACGAGCAATGGCCTTGAGGCCAAAATTTGTCAACCCATGAGTAGAACTGCTTCCTCGGATGGATAGCTTGCCCAAACCTCCACAGTGTCCAGTTCCAACAGCAATGGCAGCCAGCCTCACATCAGTAGCTTTCTTCCCTTCAAGGCATTTAGAAAGATATCCATCAACATCTGTTTCCAAGTCTTCCTCTTTGACTTCAGCTTTAATTCCATTTGAATCTACAAATCCACCCTTCTCTTTTGGCTTTGCTGACTCGTATGCCTTCTTAATATTAGATCTGCTCTCAGGCTCCACAGGTTGAGTGGTTTCATTATTGCATATTTCATCCCTCCGAATGCAACTTAAAAGCATAAGCCAACGCTTGGAGACACCTGCACAGGCACTCCTCTCTTGGCCTCCAGTAAGGCGTCTGAACACCTCAAAGAGGCATTCGTCAGGAAGAACTTCAATGGTTGACTGTTGCTTTTGCTCTCTGCTGACAAAGAACGGGGCACTGACACGAGACCTCTTACGAGGAGGAACATACACGTCCACATGATGACCACGGGACAAAAAGAGACTTGATTCCTTAGGATTTGGGTATAAGAACCCCCAAGGGAAAATATCATCATCGCCTGAAACCAAAAATGTTAAAACCAACATCAGCCAACATTTTGAATAAAAGATCTGACAAATTTTAGATTACATGAATTGTCAATACCCTTAACAAGTATGCGGGATTTAGATGTGTTGCACATCAAGCAACTATACGTTACCACAAGCATATAATTTACAATCCTGATCATATAACCATGGAAATATTACACTTTAAAAGACATGTTGCACATCGAGCAATAATATGTTATCACAAGCATATAATTTACAATCCTGATTATATATCCATGGAAATATTACACATTAAAGGTGGTGTGCCTTAGAAATTTTTACGAGCAAACCTATTTAATACCACCCTCAACAATTGATAGTTATAAGAAAATATCATATCTCAAATATAATTTAAGAATGAAAAGGCAATATCTTCCAGTTGATTGACCACAACCTTGGTTGCTGATTAATTTTTAACCATCAGTTTCTCTTCTATCTTTTTATACGGTCTCACATCAAATATTTGAGGTTGATACCACAAAAATAATAAGTTTTAAGCTTCAACATAGAAATAGACATAGACATATACATATATTGAAACAACATAAAAAAACATGGCACAAAAAAAGGCTGTAAGTCTAAAACCATAAACTTAAAGCAAAATCCACAAAAAAGATCATAAAACTGTAATCAAAGACAGTAAGCACAATTACATACTCAGACTTCCAAGACCATATCAAGTTTTATTCAAACAAAGGCACAAAAACCTAAATTAATATCTTTTTTCAAGTGAAACATATACAGATTTTGAGATAATAACATCTCTAAGAAGATTATAAAAACGGCCATTTATGCAAGTATACAAATATATATATTTCACGTGAATACAAGATTCAACCAAATCAGAGGCATAAAAAAATTAAAACATAGTTTCTTTAACAAAAACCAAGAAAAGATTTCAGATATTCAATGACATGAAATATGTTCATCGATATATACATGTTAGCTTACGTGTTTTATAGAAAAATCGGAGGATTTATCAAACGCATATTAATATAAAGATATGAAATTTAAGCAAAACCCAGAAAAGATCAGAGATCTTACCACGGAAATTGATGACTTTAGACATGGGAACTGTGTGAAAAACCAAGGGAAGTCAAATCTGAAACTTGAAAGCCCAAAAAACCCTCTGAAGAGAGCAAAAATGACCAGATCAAGCAAGAAGAGGATCAGCAAGATTAGAACCAGACCAGAATGCATCAGAAAAAAAATCAAAGGCAAGAAATCATTTGGGAACCCTAACTAGGGCAAAAAAAGAGGAGAGAGGAGTTAAAAGTATGGTGGGTGGACGCTACAATGCAAGAATATGAAGAAAATGTGTGGGTGTGAGGTGCTATATCTTATGCGTTTCTTTTGCTTTCATGGTGGGGTCCTTTTCATCTTTCTTTATTGATTATTTTATTACAATCTGTGATACATGCAATGAATCCCAAATTTCATTGTCATGTTCAATGTTTCAATTTACTATTCGGAACTTCAAATGAATGTTCAGCCCCCCTGCCCACATCACCTCTCCCTGCTTTTCCTTTTTAGAATAATATAATTAAAAAAAAAATTCAAAGATCCGACCACCAATGCCAGTATTTACATGATATTACATAACTTGAAAGGAACTATTTCCCTTTTATTTATTTGTTCTGCCTTTTAGGAAGATAAATAATAAAAATGTGAGAAATTTCCATTTTAGATGACTATTCTTCCGTTGACTTGGTTTTGGTTTCACGCTATGGAATCATGGATTTTGAGTTAGCGTTTAGTGAACTAAAATTTCGCATTTGTTTATCAAAAGCACAGAACCTAAAGAATTATCAAAACCACCTAGATATCAAACATAAACAAAAATCAAGGATGAATACAGATGTATTTGTCCGTAATCCTGTAGTTCAACAACAAGGCCTAGCCTGCATTGTGCATCCACTAAGTGGATAAAGCTCCAACGTTATAGATTTATCGTCCAACAATCAATATTACAATCAAAGTTCATATAAGAACTATTGAATGCATTAACATACTCAAGCTAACAAAAATATCTAACAAACCCTCCAATTACTATTCACCAAAAAAACATAAAACCTTCCTTTTTCGGCACCAATAGTTTCCCCAAAATAAGATCATGTAACACTAAGCTCATGATCAATACCAATAGCTTGTTGGTAGGTTTTAGTGTGGATAGAGATGTCAAATGGGTCGAACGGCTCGTGGGCTGCTCGAACTTGTCAAATGCCAAGCCCGAACCCGAGCCGAGCAGGGGTTCAATCCCACGAGCCAAAGTTCATGGCTCGTAGGCTCGTAAAAAAATATGAAAATTTACCAAAAAAATAAAAACATTTAAAAAATACGAGCTCGTGGGCTCGGCTCAACCCACGAGCTTGTGCTCGTGAGCTCACAAGCTTGTGGGCTGAGCCTGAGCAATGAGCCACAAGCTCGGCTCGCGAGCTCGTGGGTTAAAGGGCCAAGCAGAGCTGAGTCGGCTCGACACATTACTCTCCCTAAGTGTGGATAACAAGTGAGTGTTAACTAAATGTAAAGCTTCAATATAAGTTAGATTTAGATGAACGCAATGAGAGCTATATTCATGCATCAAAATCATATTGTTAATAAACTTGTGGCTATTATAAATAGAAAGTTCATATTTATTTACTATTTATAGTATGGACATGTGGTAATCGATTAGTTTGTCATTTAAATTGTTTGTTTAGGGATATAATTGTTAGAAGTGTAATAAATCTTCGATTATTTGAATTTCTTTATGATTTCGTCAGAACTCCATCGCCCGAACTCGACCTCTAAACCCCAACCTTATCCTTACCCAAATCTCCCACAATTGAGGTGGGGCCAATTTAAGCTCGGGTCTATGTTCTCAGGCGGGGTTTTGCCATTTGGGTTAGGCTAGTGGTCCATGGGCGTAATTTCCAGGGTGATTGTCCTTCTCCCACTACAACTCCCCAGGATCCTTATCCTAATCACTTTACCTACTTCTCGTTCAATTCAAATTCAAACAGAACTCTAGTAAAACACAATCACCGTATCCTATGGGGATAAGGATTATACATAGTTAAATTCTTCTGTAACTCTACCACCAACGTATATAAATACATGACAAAGGATCACCATTCATTGTTCTTAATTCATAACTTTACGCACTAAATTTCCATCCGATTTAAGCATTAGAGAGGTGACGAGAACACACCTCGTTGCCTTTGTTTTAGGTATCAGAAGATCGATCGTGTTCATCTACAACCTTCAACCTCGACGTCCCAGCTCTCAGTTCGAGGTTCATTAGGTACAATTTTTAGTAGCATCACTTTATATTTCCGTTTAGTTGATTGTGCACTGTTTTTTGTTTTTAAATATACAAACAAGATAAATTTATCAAACTTATAAAGTTTTTGCTAGTTTTATGATTAACAAAGTTCTATTGTTCTAATTTATTTTATTTACTCTTATTTTGATTTTTTTAGTTGCCATAAAATTTTAAAATGCGTCTTACGAAAACAACTATCAGTGTTTGCGAAACGAAAGAAGAGACAAAACTAAATAGTTAGTACAATTCTAAAAATACGCTCTTAATACATTCAATGTTAATAAAGCACAAAATATAAATTGGGTACTTTAAACTTCAATTGAAGATTTAGCTACTGATCATCATCCAAATCATGAGGAAGAATTAGGACTCAATGGAAATGATAAAAATGAAGAAGTTGATGATGAAGTACACAAGGAAAATGATACTAATGAAGATGTAAATGGTTTAACTCACAATAGATCCACTCCCTCCATCCAAGAACTTGGAATGATCTTGGCATAAAATGTTAAGATTTGTTGATGATAAATGCTCATACAAGAAATCTTTCATTAGCAAAAGTTCCTAAAGAAATCTGAATGTATCTCTACAGACTTATATACTCGTTATATATCAAAAGGCGAGGAATGCCAAAGCCATTGTCAGTGTGTTCTAATGATCTTGATCAAGTTTTTTGTTTTTGTTGCTAGTTATTTGAAAGAGATTTCGATTAATAAATGAAGGATGGCATCCAAAATATCAAGATTGACCTTATTAATTATATATTGAACACTATTTTGTTGATTGTTCAATTCCTACTAAGTTAGGAAATTCGTACTTGAAGGACGTGTTTTGTTGGTGCAAATTTGTACACAATCATCGTCATGTCGTTTGCTTTTAGCCGAATTGGGTTTGATACCCTTGCCAATATTACTCTCTATAATTGTTTTCAATCCAATTGAACTTGGGAGTTGTCATGTGTTGAGGTTTATGTGACCAAGTTAAGATATATTGTATCGATTTAGCTATCTACTTATTTGTTTTTCATTAAATTTTTGACATCTTTACTTATCAATCTTGTTAAATAAATTGGAGGATGTCATTTATAGTATAGTGCATTCCAATTACTAACAAGATCAAATGTATTGATGAGTCAAAAATTGAAGGAGATGACAATCAAGGAGACAGATAGTGGTATTCAATTTTACCATTGTTAATTACCATATATATTTTTCATTTCTATTTATTTCACTTATATTTTAGTTTTTTAGGACGAAACTTTCTTGTTTTCACGAATAATTCTTGAACACGGGGACAAAAGTGAAAAGTTCCACTCTCTATCTTTACTGTATTTTATTTACAAACAATACCCCTTTGATTTATTAAATTTTGCAACAAGCCCCCGAATCCAAACCATATGCACATCACATCAACTTGATAATTGGTTTTTAATATTGATTATTGACAACCAAGTCAATGTTGGACTCTGATGTCAATATGTAATGATTCATTCAAAACTAGCCCACACTAATCTCAATTTGCATTACTTAAATACAAGCTTGAAAAGACCCAATTACAACATATTCTATGTAATTTTAACTCGTAATTATAACTCATGTGAAAGTCACAGAGGATTTTCACGTTCTCGTTTATAGTTTCGGGCATGTAAGCATTTAGATTGACTTATATAGATAGGTTGAGGATTCAGAACCTCATTTTTGAAAGTTAGACATAATTGAAAAGTTAAAAAGCACAATCTTAAATTTTCTTTTAGATAATCACGTCTTTCCTTGCATTAGGTCCCAACTAAACTTAGCCCCCGTTTGACCCCCTATTTCCTAGAAATAAAAATGGGTGGAATAGTATTTTTCTAAAAAATGAGTGGTTGAAAAAGAAGGAAAAGTTTTCGATTTACATGTAAGATTATTTTATGGAAGATTGTATGGTTGAAAATAGGAGAGAGAGAAATGTAATGTAAGAAATTTAATGGAGGCCAAACGGGAGCTTAATTGGGTTTCTTTGTTTTCTTCGATCCTCTTTATTCAAGTAAAAGCGAGAGTTGGATATGAACATTACATTCATAAAGGTTGAATCCCAATTTTGAGGACCCCCACCGCCCCTCCCCTAGAATTTTGTGAGGGAGATAAATCGCGGGATGTGTCCCAACAAGCCAGGGAACAAGAGCTGTCTGTACACCGTGCCTACAAGGAGTTCAATTCCATATTTCAGGAATCGAACCCCACACTGCGGCTGCCAGCAAGGCGTGAGATAACCTCACTCCCGTCCTTTGCACCACTAGTCTATGCCCCGGGGGCTGAACATTACATTCATACTTACAACTAAGGAGAAGCAAGGCCACGTGCATATGTTTCAAAGAATTTATTTGACCTACCAAAAGACAGCATATTATTGATTTGAAAAATGTGTGGGGGACATTCTCATGACAATAATGCAAATCACATTCATTATTGGGAAATTTCCATATGATCTTCTCTACTCTTAATCATTTCATTAACACTCTTATGAATTTTCCAAAATGTCGTCTCAAAAGAATATAAGAAAGTTGGCAATGGAGAGAGGACTCATAGCAGCGTAAGATTGATATTATTTTCTTCCTAAAAGTCTTCTCTTGTATCAGTCTGTTCGACCATATTTTAAAAGTTCTATCAAATTGGCCCTAAATAATAAAGAAATTAATTATCTATTTAAATAAGATAACCCTGCTGTGTGTTTACTTCAGTACTTTTTTTAATTAAACGAAGTGGGGTTTTTATTAATAGCAAAGAAAAGCACAACTTAAGTAGTGGGGCTAGGCGTGATCCCGACCTCATATGGACAGTACAAAGCCAAACGTAGCCAATGAACTTACAAGACGACCAACTGAGTGGAACCGTTACACTTAACTAATAATTTCAATTATAACGGATATAAATATGCAGTTGATCGTTTCTCGTGCTAAGATAAGACTTAATTCACAATTCGTACATTATAATCAGGTCGTGAGAATTGGAGGAAGATAGTCAGATTTATTGCCAAGAACATGAGCTTTAGTGTCAGGAAAGCATTGGAAATCTGGCAGGGCCGTAATCTCTCCTTCTTTGGAAATATGAACAGGATAGCGAAGAAGATGTCCTTGGAGGTCTTCCTCAAGCATGTCACTTGCGTATTGATTCCAGTTTTGATCAGCACTTTCATTAATTTTCCGTACACATTCCAAGCTTTCCGGATGAAGAAAAGAATCGTGTAGATAGTTAAGGTGCTCGTACCATAAGGCCATTCGGAAACTAAATATCTTACCCCTGGCCGGCTGGCTGTCTGCCAAATGATGTGGTTGGAAGCCTCCCATTGCAATCTCGGAGTCTCTTGCACCGTCCATTGACCTTTGATTGATGTTGGCCGATCCAATGATAATGTATTCGTCATCAACTGTTGATAATAGAAAGTGTCGATAAATCTTTTATATAATTTGCGCAGCTGAAGGTAGAAGAATTTTATTTTCGTTACCTATCATCATTTTTGCGTGAACATAAATCATGAAGCGCCTGGACTTTTGAGCTCGACTATAATCAGTATCTGGATCAGGTTCCTCCGTAGGAATGTACTCTCCGGCTAACTTGATTTCTCGATTGCCAAGGCAGAAGAAAGTTAAATAGTCCCTAAGGTCTACAACATTAAGTCCCTTAGCTAGTAGGGCGTTATAAATATCAGAATACATCATTTCTATTGTCCTCTTTTGCCAATCAAGAATTGCCTGAACCGAGGCACTATCTGGTATACCTTCTGGCCACATAGGAATGACAATGTAGACGATAAATTTCTCCCTTGCTTCAATCTTACTTACAATCTTCAGTGAGAGCTCCTTTGGTATAAGGTGCAAGGCGTTAATATCCTCAATTGTTACTTCCTTTGATGGTTTCCAACCATATGAGCTCCCAATAAAATACTGATTTTCTATGTATATAAAATTCTTGGCCCTTCGAATTGCATTGATGTAGGCATCTTGAATGCTGCGATCTATGATGTTGTCCTTTCCACTGACAAGGCCTATTTGTGCTGCTTCCTCGGGTTTAGTTGGAAAGTCAGAAGCAGCAGCACCATCAATTGAACGGAATATTTGCACATTCCATGTTTCAGGGTCTTCTAATGAGTTAACAGGTGTCGGGTGAACAATAAACCTATCGAGATCATCAGTGGAATAGAGATACTGACTCCCTACTTGTTTCCTCCATCTCTGTTCGAAGTTGTACAAGACATCCCAAGCTACAGGCCCTTCAAGCCGACAATGAATGTCGTGCCAGGGTTCCCGAGGACCACCTTTTGCAATGGAGGATCCTGGAAAATTGGGCTGGTGGAAATCTTTATTATGAACTGTGCCCAATGTCCTAAATAGGGAATGATCTTTAGTATCATACCTTCCATCACATAGATCGATGCCACCGACAAAACTAACTAGCCTTCTTTTTTGAGACCCATCTCCCAGGAATTCACTGTCTACTACAACTGTCTTTTGGTGGTGAGTAAACATGGTTGAAACCTGAATTCCTTGGAATATGCTATCACCTGCATCGGGGTTTCGAGGACACAAAACACAATGCACATTTGTGTTCTGAAAGTAATCTTTTGTTTCTTGATCATGGGTTGCCATTAGACCATCCCTCTTCAGTTGTGGTACCGAAGTTCTGTCATCCCAGACAAGCACGAGAACGTTCACACCTTGGTCCGCCTTCTTTTTCAACAGCTCACCCAGAAGTATATCGTTTCCTGGCTTTTGCCTCATTGGGTCCCTTATTAAAGTGATTTCAGTGTATACTGACCAACCTGTTATGTAAATCAAATGTTGAGCATCGTTAATTGCATCGAAAATGTCCTCCCAGCATCTTTGAGTCTCATAAACTCCCCAGCGCCTAAGATATCCTGTGGGGATATTATCTGGGACATGAGCATCTCGGTAGAGGGAAATTTGACAGCCCTGTCTCTGACGGAAGAATGTGAAAGGGACACCTTGAAATCCAGGAGTTCCGATACCTCGAGACCAGTTACTTTCTCTAGTAACCTGGAAAAATTGCAATTTTACATGTATCTTTGAGCCTCCGTGGATGGGATTCATATCTTCATCCAGTATATCAAGCCATCTATCCACCATATTTCGATTTATGATTTCCTCCACAGGTAGATAAGCTCTTCCAATTAATGTTGCTCCAATAGGATTACCATCTTTCACGGTAAAAATAATTTCAGAAACCATATGAGCACAGTAAATGTGAAAATCCTCGTACCAGCGTGGATTAGAAAGTTCATTCTCTATCATTTTAGTCCTCCCGACTCTGGCCCTTTGCAAATCTATGGTGGCATAAATTCTGGAACCAACAACCTGCTCAAATTTTCGACATTCAGGTTACTAGCAATGCATATAATAAGCAGCAAGATATCGTTTCTAACAACGATGTACCTCAGGACGGCATAGTACATATCTCTTGACGTTGTAAAAGAATCTTTTGGTCATCTTTTGTGAATTGGAAGTCTTCAAGTTCACAGGGCCAACAAAAAGACACCAAAACATGAAAGAATTATTAGAGGATGTGGATGATCATCTTCCTGATAGCACAATCAAATGCAGACATCAAAATCAAGCAGCAGCTATCAAAGTGATCCACAAATTAGTTTGATGCGTGTATGAAAATTCTTATGCTGAAACAGATAAAAGTTTACAGGAAATTTATAGATATTCTTCTTTATATGTTCAAAGGAAATCCGCACGTACCATCACAATAACCAGATAGTAACTCGGAATATAAAATAAAATATGATGTTTCAAGACAACATTAGAACAATTGTTACAACGTACAAGCATGACATTGTGGGATCTAGAAAGTCAATTATGTAAGCAGAATTCTGACTCCTAGCTATACGCGAGAGTGTATCAGAGGAACAAGTCTTAATACGATCGAGGTACTATAACTATAGTCTATGGAAAAGCCCAGTCCTATATATATACATACATGTAGAAGGTTTTATTTTCATTCTTTTTCATTATTTATATAGAAAAATGGTGATATTCACCATTTATTCCAAATTTCCAATAATAATTTCAGTATTGGTAAGAGATTTACCTTGCCACATAAATCAAACCCGAATCCACCCTGTAATCTATCAGCTTCGCATATTGTTGCATGAAGTGTCCCATGAAGAAGACGCATAGCTATGTTAGTTTTACCTGAATGAGCTTGAGAATGGAAGAAAATTTTCACGTACAAGAATTTGGCTCCTGAAATTTATGTAGCCCCGCAGAGAAGAGAATCTAAATACTGTGTTTCTTTCAAGAAAGAAATATCTTTTGCTTTGATCATGTTTCCGTTCGATGCATGAGATTAGAGGAACTCTCTGGCAGGCTGCAAGTAACTTCTTTGCCTTTTTACTTTTAAAAAATTAGCAAGAAAGAAATCTGAGGAAAATGAGAATGGAAGAAATGGAGGATTGGTAGATGGCTAAACTAGCTTGAAAGGAAACAGGTGAATGCTATTTACAAGTAAAGATAGCATCTTGGAACGTGGGTTTTTGTAAAATCATCATGTCTCATTACAAATATTCTTTTCAGAAAGTATTGAATAATGTTCTCCAGATTTATAGATTTGAACTGAAGATGAACAGTTATTTCAATCATTTGTATCTACACCCAATTTTTTCAGATCATAAGTTGATATTAAAACAAAAATAATAATAATAATAATAATAATAATAATAATAATAATAATAATAATAATTCTTACTGCAGAATTTCATCATTTTTCAGTTTCCTGAGCGAAAATTCTACATTTGTAATTTTGTTTCCGATGCAAGCATTATGGAAGAAATATAGAAGGGCATTTTTTTTTTGGAGCAGCAGCAAGTTAGAAATTTTGAGTTTGATAAGAAGCTGGACTTTTTAATTCAAGATTATCGACTTCAAGATTTATCGCTAGGCCCTTACATAACCCATAATAATAAGTCGAGTCAATTACATGAATATTATCGAGCATATTGATAACCATCTTCAACTCTGATGGGACGAAAATCAGAGTACTTGTAAAACTCCCAAATCCTTCACTTTTTCAGCTTGACAAATAACAATTATTCGCACACATGGATAATGGGGCACATGATTAAGATGGATCTTTCCATCCAGAATAATAAAGAGTAAAGTGTGATCCTTCGGCAAACCTAGTTAACAATTCAATCAAAGACAAATTAAACAGAAAGCAACTTGTTCTGTAAAAGTTCCAAATGTCAGATCTCAAAGAAGCCATGGACGGCATAGGACAGCCTGCTCCAATATATAAAGAGGGCAGGACACTGACCTTCAATAAGCGGCAGAGTGGCTTTACAACCAACAAGTTTCAAGAAACAAGGTGTTGCATTTGTAAGATATGCAACTACTAGAACCCAGCTCATATTTTATCAGCAAGGTATCTTCCCAGATAATCGATGGGCTTATTCGACTCTACATTTTTTATTCCCCTGCACCTAAACTTTATTCGGGCAAGATAATCAGCTGCAATCCAAGCAAAGCTCAACATTACAGTTTTCCCAACACCATCTGGAACTTGAAACTTTTGAACCCATTTAGGATGATAAGTTACTTGATACCATGCCGATGCCTTCCTCTCATATATTACATTTTTCTCATCATCAGAAAGGTCATTAAAATCTGAGTCATTCATGCTGTCAAATATCTTCCTGAAGTCCTTCTTGAGGGAATTGTAGGCATGCTTCAGTCTCTCTTTCAATTCTCCTTGCTTTTTGCTACTGTACTTTGGCATCGACCAAATGTGTCCAGTAACAACCTCCTCTTCTCTGTTCACTTTGTACTGTCCCAAAAGGCAGCTCAACTGCCCATCATAAGCACATTTGCAATTCCATGCATCAGCAAAGAAACTCTCTGATCCCGGAATCTCTAGGTCTTGGTCATAAGGAATCTCTTTCGAAGCAAATGCTAGTCCAGAAGATCCCTCGTAATCCTCGTCATAAGCATCTTTAATTTTGCGGTACAGCTTACCCAAAATTTTACTCGATCTGTACGACTGAAATTCCTCTTTCCCCATGAAGTCTGGATACAGTTTTGGTTTCAGTACAGTCGGCATGGTCACTATCTTTCCAGTTTTTGGAAAATCAACTGCTGTTGCTGCAAGCTCTGCTAATCTGATGCACTTCAAATCCAATGCACCAGATTCACTAAGGTCAGCATGAACCACATGAGCATTGCAAATTGCACCTAGGCTTTCATTCACCATGTTCTTTGAGAAAAAATCAATTATGTCCTGTAAATAGCAAATGGTGTTACAATTAGAAGCATGGAACAAAATTATAATCCATTTTTCTCTCTCTTCTTATCAACTACACATTCTCCAAACCCAAAATCTTTCTTCTTTTTTAACCACATTTTTCAAAATAACACTATTCCAAAAATTATAATCTCAAATAATGGGGGCCAAATGGAGGCTAAGCCTTGTTTCCTCAAAGATAATTCATTCTTCCTTCCAGGATCAGTACATTCAGGAAAATAAATTTGAAAAAGCCCCTTGAATGCATTAATATTTCCATGATAAGATTACACGACAGTTCTGTGTATATAAAAATGAAGCACTACCAATTAAATTATGTGATAAAACACGATTAACCAACCGGGGAAACAAGAAAGTTTCAATGGTTAAGAATATACATGCCTCTCAATATCAACTGCAACATTCCCATAATACTACACAGGGAGCTTAATTTGAAGCTGTATCTTGTACAGGAAACCATCCATAAAATTGCTTTAACAAACTTCGGTTTTTTCACAAGATATTGTAAATAATATAGCTTCATCAAGAATGAGACTAAAAAGAATCAATTCTGCTGAAGATAGAGTCAATAAACCTGCTCAATAAAGTCATGCACACAGTGAAACCATCACCATTGCATCTTTTCACTCGGGCAAACTACACAAGCAAGTTAGATGCATACCATACAAGATATTAAGGGGTTGATAAAAATTTTAGAAGATTTTGATAAAAGTTCATGAAATGTGTGGTAGAAAAGTTGATAAAAGTTGTGAGTCCATGAAATATGTGTTAGAATTAAAGTTTGACTTGAAAAGTAGATAAAATTTTAGAAAGCCGTTGGATCCTTCCTATTTGGCCTGGACCTGCATGCTCATCATGGTCATCCCTTAGCCTCCTGCACCCATATTCCTAGCCTCTCCTCAAACAAGCGCTAAGAAACAAACTGAACAGATTAATTAATTATTTGTCCATGTAGTTAGATATAAAAAAACAACATATATTTCTGTAAAAGAGTAGCACCTGTATATCCCATATAGCCTGTTTGGAAGTGATTTTTTCCTTCAAAAAATTGATTTTTTGAACGTTATTTCACTATTCTAGCCGTCATATTTCACTTCTTCTCTTACAGGTGGTCCCCACTTTTCTCGTAACGATCAAAAAATCAATTCTCAAAATCACTCCCAAATAGGCTTTAAAAAGTTTGCTGTATTGATAATAAATTCATTATGAAAATAGGAGAGAGAGAAGTAATTAGATACTCTGAATAATTGATGAAAAAATCACAAAACAAAAGCATCAAAGAGTTCAAATGAATAATCATTTCAGAGCAAATCTGACAACCAACTTGAGAATAATACTGAAGAAGGCAGGCAATTACCTTGTGCTTCACATCACGCGGCAATGTTTTGACTTCTCCAGTTGAATACTCCATCGGAATCCAGCTTTTCTTGCTTGGAGGAATAAGATTTTCATCCCAAGTAACAAAATAGAGATCCCCGTCAAGGTCACTCCCAGATGCCTCATTTGTATGGGGTCTGTCTCCATTTTGAGGGAAGACAAGACAATCATAAAGATGCTTCAACCCAGGGATATCTACTGCCTCCAGAATCCTCACATCACCAGGATGAAGACAGGGGTTTTTGGCAATTGCCACAAGGCCCTTAATTACCCGTAGATTTTTATTGGTTTCCGAGAACTTTGAACCATGCTTCACAAAACAGTCTTCTAATGAAGGATTTGAAACTTGGATGAAGCATTGGCCTTGTCTGAGTATACCAAGCTCATCCAAGCAGCCCATCAACCACCTTCCAGAAGGAACAAAGATCCTTGCTCTTTCCCTCAAATCCCCAAGCTGGGCAGCTCTTATGCTAGTTAGCATCCCACAAAGATGAGGTTCACTTTGAGGTCTGAACCCGGCACTCAACATTATTGCTGCTGTATTTCCTTGCTCAGCACATGAAGCGGTAAGAATATCAAAAGCCGTGTCTGTGTCTACGAGCATGCGATCAAGTCTTGAAACCATGATTTCCTGCATTTTCCAGAATATGTCATCTTTAACATCCAAAGCAGAGAGTAGAGTAATTATCTGTCGATTCAGAAAACCAGGCTGAAATCTAGTCCAAGAACAAATTTCAAGGATCGTATGATTTGATTCGAACTTTTTCATGCTTGGTCTGAGATACAAGTGGATCCCATTATTTTCTGCAGGCCAACATGCAACGACACCTTTGCAACCTGCATATCTGATCTGATAAGCACATGGAGGATTTACAGTCAACTGGAGTTTCTCTGCAACTCTCATTGCAAGATCAGGGGATATTTTACCAATTCCATCAGAGAAATCATATCCGTTTCTTTGAATATCAGGAAGCTCAGGATCAACCTCAGCTGCTGGGACTTCCACTGTGGCATAAGTTGATGAGAAACATTGCCCCATCCTAGCAGCACACTTTGCAACGTTCCTATTAGTAAACCTACCCATCCAACTCATAATGCTGGGCACTACAACAGTTTCGTTTTCAGCAAAAAACCAGGCTGAACTGTCCCGCAGTTGATTAGCTGAGTAAGCCAGAAAAGAGTATCTTCGACCACACAAATAGAACCCATTACTCAGTATATCCTTCACCCTTTTGAACATTGAAGTTCTTTGCGGATTCGAATCGGACGTGATGTCCCTCAAAATGCCAGAAGGATAATAAGTAAGTACGTTTTTATTGAGTTTCCGCATTCCCTCGTCCATAAAAGTAACCCTGAGGAAGCGATCAGCTACATTCTTGTAATTCCTCAGAACCCTATTGGAAAGTTCCACTTCTGGTGGAAGACAGTAGGCTTTTGCTGGAGTTATGATCAACCGTCTAACTTCAACAATGTCGTCCAACTCTTGAGGTCCCTCAAGAAGCTTAGGGTTTTTCAACAGCCATTTCTGAACAAATACCAGGTTCTTACAAGCATCATACCAGGTATGATGCTTAAGAGACCATATATGCTTTAATGCAACTAAATTGACTCTCTCTGGTCGAATTCTCAACAGATGAAAAAACTTATCGGACATTTGATGCTGATTGATTATCCCTTTGTGCATGATGGCATTTACCAAAAACAAAACCTTGAAGGTTATCCCTTCCTTGTACTGAATGCAGAAAAAGGGATCGGGCAAGGGCACCCCAAAATCAGGCTCATCCCGTACCCTTGGCTCAGGGCTGTCGTTTAGAACTGGTATCCTATGTTCTTGAAGATATGCAAGAGCCTTGTCGAACCTTGGACCGTTCCGGGGTCGAACTGAAATTCTGTAAATGTTACACCTACCAATTGCCCCACTAGGTGTAAAATCTGTAGTGCGTATCCATGGATCATCGTCGTCCAACAAATCAAATGGGACAGATTCTTCAA